GCTTTCAGTTGCTCCTCTCTCCTTGCCTACATATAAACACAACACCAGTTATGCTAGAGCAACCAAACTAATTCTCTCCCACAAAACACAAATAACATACATACAACATAACATGTATGCATGAACATTAATTGGAATTTGAAACAAGGTCAGATGAAAAGGAATGATGCATCACCTCTATGGAAGAAAACCGAAAACTCTGGCTAATATGCTTCACTAATGATGCATCATCTTCAGTAACTGCCAACAATGAGGCACATGAAGTAAGTTCTAGTACAACTTTGTTCATTCCAGGATTACAAATATTTCAAGCTAAAGGTTGCAAAGTGAACTCGAATATATAAATTTATAAGTGAAGTACATATTCAAGGAAAGCAGCTTTAGCGTCTATAAAACTTGAGGGGAAACCAGTAAACTTCATTTTATGTCCAGCCTTTATTAACTCTCGACAGCAAGTATATATGAATTATGATTTACCTAGATCAAATGCCTGATAGTAATACTCATCATTACTTATGAGGTTTAACATCTAATATCTGTTAAATTTTATATTAAATAGCCAAATCTCGCTCCAAATATTCATATTACAGAAAAATGTAAGCATTGAATCCAACTTTTAGTTAAGCCACAACTAGAGTTTTTCCATACACAATACAAAAGATTTACTTACCTTAGATTCAATTTCAGAATAGTACTGACCAATAGCAGTTTGAAGATTTAGCAGTTCAACATTTTTTGCATGTATTATTCTCATAAAGTTTGCAACCTTCTCATTCATATCATCCATTTTTTCTGATTCTTCAGATTCCTAGATAATATTGCCTCCGATGGACATAAATACAATCCAAGACTAAACTTTAGTTAACAAGTTGATTGTTGAGACTAATGAAGAGACTGATTGTAATAGACTCAATGAACGGCCGATAACAGAAAACAAGCATACAAATTAAACTGAAAGTACTATATTAGAGGCAATTAACTTCTTAAGTCCTATTGCTACTTGAAAATAATGGGGTCCAAAATTTTAATTCCAACCAGATACTTGAAACATAATTTAGAAAAAGCCACAACACCATTATTAAAGACTATTATTATTGTGAGATGTAAAACTTGAAACTAATAGAATTCACAATGATAAAATGGAAAGACAGTCGTCAACACACATATGCAATGCAAGGAAATGATGATAAAAGCAATCAAAATCATCAGCAGGATTCTGAAACATTTGGTTAGTACTTTGAACTTGAGCAAAACATAAGCTAAAGAGGAGAATATAGATAGTGAAAATCTATTACTTTTATCACAAGAGGATGCACTTGGGGCTACTGACATACCATAACAATATCTTGGGATCCACCTGTCAAAAGAAGGATTCTAGTTGTTATTTCATATTTTGAATTGCAAATGAATTTATGTACCAATGAAATAACAGAAAAGTATAGGGGTCAAAAAGATGTCAGTCAACAAATCTCAAAGGATAAAAAAGGCTACCTGGAGGTCACTGCATAGAAGAGTAATACCATCAGCCAATATCATATCTGTGTCAGGATCTGAATAAAATATGTGAGTAAGTATTTTATTTTTTAAAGGAGTCATGCAGGCTGCTAAATATAGCCATGCTATCAATCAATGGAAAATAAGCTGCATAAATGAATTTCAGGATTTCATCGAAATGAAAATAAGAGTATATCAAAATCTCAAAGAACATAAAGAAATTCAGCAGTTTTCTCTGTTATGTTCAATCAAAAATACTAAACTAAAGCAAACCACAAATTATTAAGGCAAACTATAAAATAGAATGAGAAACAAACAAAAAAAATAGGAGAGAAAATAAAAGCTTGCCTTTATATATTTTATAAAGCTTCCGGGGAAAGAAAACATCAACAACTTCTTTAAGATTCCAACCACTTTCCTTCAATGCTTCAATAGAAATTTCTTCACTATAATTAAATAACCATATGAATAAATACATGAACTAAGGAACTGAAAAGAGGGCAGCAAACCACTGATACATTCAATATAGTTATAGATAATAAAACCATAATTCTAAAGATAACTGGAAAAAAATGTCATTGATGGAAATGGGAAGAGACGTGATTAGCCTTACTAACATGTTTTTATTGAGGGACCAAAATCAATCATCTCTATCAAAACACATCCATTGTTCCTTTGTTTTCATCTTTGCACATAAAACATTTTTTCCCGGTCCATTTTTAAAAGTAGCTCTATGTTAACAGTGATTTCAAAAGTAAATCCTAGACACACCCAAATATTAACAGTGAAACCGCAAAATAAGAAAAATCAGGCTACCTCAATGTAGTTATCGACATGAACTGCAGGACTTTGATCCCACGACTTCCCTCCAGTTTATGCTGTTACGAACAACAAAATCATATTATATGATATAATAACATTTTCATTTTGTAGTAAATTTTATCTGTAATAATAACATCTCATATGAAGAAAATATACCTTAATCATTTATAAATGGAGGATAATGGTTGGTACAGAGTCGAGGTTTACAACTAAGATAAAACATACAGAGTTGGAGCGCCACCAACTCAGCCATATATTTTTTCGAATTCAGTAAAATGCAAACGTTTAATTTGAGTTAGCTTCCTCAATTATTGTTTTCTTGAACTTAATTTCTTGGATTTTCTTCCATGGCAAATATTATGAGAGTACAGAGAAATCAAAATTTATAATAACCAAAAGCAACTTCTATGAGAGAAACAACAATCGAAGATAAAAGAACATTCTGGAAGTTATTCTTTAAAGAGAAAGCAACTAACCATATTGGAGTTTATTGTGTAAAACTAAAGAACCCCAAAATCGACAGCAAATTGAGAGCGAAAGTTGAAAGATGTTGCACTATAATCCAAAGACAGAGGGAAGAAAGAAACCATTGTTTTTGGCTTTCAATTTCTTTCTTCTTCTTCCTCTCCTTCGTTTAAAAAGGAAAGAAAATATGTCTTGTCTTGAAGGTTTTGAGGGATGGGTTTTCTCAAAAGAAGTCGAAAAAATGGTGGCTTTTGATTCCATGAAAACATTAGAGGTCAAAAACCAATTTTTAACAAAGCTTGTGTTTAGATTCCAATTTTTTAACTTCTTCCTCCATTTTCTTGTTAGCCAGACATAACCCATTTCAAAATTCCAACTTCGAATTCTTAAAAACCAAAATTTAACATGGGAAAGAAATTAGCGAAACAGAAAACATAGTGCAGAACACAAAAATGCTTATGCCTGAAAACAAAATTGCAGGATACAACTAAGTAAACATCAAATACAAAAGAATTAAACTAATAATTCAAGAATCAATTATAAATTTTCAAAAAGATGAATCAGATGCGTAAATGCAAACAACATGGAAACATGGGATATATATCAAATGTATAATCACTAAGTTGCAATGACTACGAAGAAGGGAAAATCTAAGGTAAGATAATGATACTTAAAAGTCAGTAGAATCCCAAAATCCCATACACGCTAATAACTTCCCAAATAAAATCCCAAATCTTTTCTGGTTATACTTTCTTATCATACACTAAATTATAAACATCTGGCTAAATTTAACAGATAACACTACTTGATAAACCGATGAATAATCAGTTTGGGGCATTTATTCTTTAGGGAAAAAAGAAAAAATAGCGGCAATGGGAAATGTAATGAACCACAAGAAGTAGCTAAGACATTAACAGAAAAGAGACTCTAAAGACTTCATACCATATTATCGTAACCTTGGATAAACCGCGAATAATCAACAGTGTCATTTTTCCCCTTCTTGGATTTACCATCTCTCGCCCCATGCCTCTCAGACCTCCATGACTCCCGCGGCAACGAGCAACACAAATTTTACGTGGATGGAAAAGATGAAAAAGGGGAAAGGGATTTAAAAAAATAGATGTAATGGCGAGAAAAAAAAGCTTTCATAAGTGAAAAAAGAAATTATGTTCGGCGGAGATGGGTAAGAGGAAAAAGGGGATCGTGGGAACATATGAAAAAGGGGAATGGGATTTGAACAATTACAATGATCAAATATTGTGGTGTTTGTTGACAAAAACGCCACCATTTATCATTTTATAGCGGCGTTCTTTAGAAAATGCCGCTAAAGTACATGTTTTTACGACGTTTGTGTAAAAATGTCACTATAGGTGAACCCTATTGTGGTGTTTTTATAAAATACTGCTAAAGTTAAAACCTGTTGTGGTGTTTGTCGAAAAAACATCACTATAGATGGACCTATTGCGGTGTTTTTATAAAAATACTGCTAAAGTATTACTCTTTTGTGGCATTTTTCGAAAAAACGCCACTACATATATACCTATTGCGACGTTTATATAAAACACCGCTAAAGTACTACTCTATTGTGGTATTTTTTTAAGAAACGCTGCTAAAGTATCATTTTGTGGCATTTGGATTGTAAACGCCGCTATATGTTTAAATTTTATGGCGTTTACTTTCCAAACGCCGCTAAAAGCGCCGATACAGAACAATTTTGTTGTAGTGAAAAATTTTAAATTGATTCGGATGTGTTATTTTTTTTAGATATATTAAGGAATGTGAAACTTTTAGGATATGGACCGCACAAATTTTTGTACCATATGGTACCTATGTGAAGTTTGATTGTGATAGTTTGGTAGTGATTCATAATGATGATACAGTTAGACAAGTGATGAATTTAATGCTAAAGAATAGTAGTGTTAATATCTATGTTGACCACAAAATCGATGAAGATATGGTTGTTGAGGGTATTAATATGGTTGTTGAGGATATGCCTGTTAATGTAGGCGGGCTTGCTAATGTAGACAAGCCTTCTTTTGTATTTGGGTTAAAGTCAGAAGGAGTGTCTGGGCCTTCTGTGGTTGATGAATCAACGTGTGAGACTGTTGTTGATGACGAGGTTAAGGCTGCGGTTATTGAAGAAGTTAAAGTTGATGTTTAGGCTGCTAAAATTAGGGTTGATGCTATTAATGTTTTTGAAGATTATGATGGTGAGCGTAATGTCGAGGCAACTGAATTAGGGGCTGAAAACGATGAAGATAATGAAAATTATTTCATACACAATATAGAGTTAACATCTGATGTGAACGATTAAGTTATAACCATCAGAAATCAATTGAAAAGAGGCCAGAAAAAGGAGAAAAAACAAGTTGAAGTCAATAAAGATAATAAAGATGATTTTGTTGAGGAAGATGTAGTCAACCAAATGGCTGAGAAGCTTAAGGTTAATGACAGTGAGTACTTAGACTCTTCTGACCCAGGTGAATATTGTGATAATGATGACTCTTCAGATGTATGTGGGGTATATTCTGGGACTTAGATATGATCTGAATTGTGACATCCCAAAATGGGAACTTGGCATGAGATTTGAAGATTGTCATCAATTCAAAGAGGATGTGAAGAAGTATTATGTGGTAAAAGGTATGAATTTAAGGTTCGTAAAGAATAAAAGTAAGTGAACAAGGTTGTGTTGGAAGGGCGACTATCCTTGGAAAATATTTGCTAGTTATGATAATCGAGTTGATTGATATGTTGTGAAGACATATCATCCAGTTTATAAATGTTATATGAGTAATAAGCATACAATGTTATCATGTAAGATGCTTATGCAACGTATAATATCTGTCAAATAGCTAGATATGCCATTTTAAAGGATATACATGGTTCTTATGTACAAAAGTTTGCTAGTCTTTGGGGGTATGCTGTAGAGTTGCTACATTTGAATCATGGAAGTACGATTACAATTCAAGTGGACAAAGATAATTTGGGAGTGGCAAGATTCCATAGGATGTATGTTTGGTTACATGCACTGAAACAAGGTAGAAAGAATGTTGTAGGCCTTTTATCTGTAGTGATGGATACTTTCTGAAATATGTGACAAAGGGAATATTATTAGTGGTTGAGGGTAGAGATGGAAATAACCAGATGTTTTCGATTGCACGGGCAGTCGTTGAAAGTGAAGGCAAAGAATCATGGCGATGGTTTTTGCATAAACTAATGGTCGACTTAGAGCATCCTAACGACAACAGATTTACACTAATGTCAGACATGCAAAAGGTTGTACTTTATTATGTTCCTTTATTATTGTCGAATTCTGTCTTTTAGTGAGTATTGATGCATTTTTGTATTGTTTTGTAGGGCCTTATACCAGTTCTAAGGGAATCATTCCCCGATGTTAAGCACAGGATGTGTGAAAGGCATATCTATGCATATTGGAAAAAAATGGAAAAGAATTATATGGAACATGGACAAAGTAAATTTTGTAGAAGAATTTGACAAACAGTTGAAAAAATTAGAAGATTTGGGGCATGGGTCCTCAAATGACCTTTTAGAGACCCCATTAGAGCATTGGTCAAAGGCTTACTTTAAAGGGTCATGTAAATGTGATGTGGTTGACAATAGCATGGACGAAGCTTTTAATGGATGGATAGTAGAAGCAAGATGCAAGCCTATCATCAACATGCTTGAGAATATTAGGGTCATGGTAATAACTATGATGGAAACTAAAATAACTTGGGTAGAAAAGTGGAGAACCAACATCTCACCAAGAGCTCTTGAGAAGTTGGAAAGGAACATGAACATTTCAACTCAATGTAGGCTTATATGGAATGGAGATGGAGGGTTTGAGGTTATTTATTTGGATAACCAACATGTTGTTGATTTAAAGAAGTCGACATGCACTTGTATGGAATAAGAACTAAGTGGGATTCGATGTTATCATGCCATATGTGCAATGTACCAAGAGTTCAAATCACCTGAAGATTATGTTTCAGAATGACATAGTAAGGAGAAGTACGTGGAAAGTTACAAACATATTCTATAACCTGTAAGAGGAAAACAATCTGGCCCAAAGTTCTTACTCTGATTAACCCTCCCATTGTAAAGGTCCAACCTGGAAGACTCAAGAAAAATAGAAGAAAACATAAAGATGAACTCACAAAATAAACATTTGGGAAATACTCAAGATCCGGGGTAAAAATGAGATGTGGTCATTGTAAAACATTTGGCCATAACAAGTAAAGTTGTCCACAAAAAACAACCAGTGATGTTTCAAGTTAGGTAAACATGTGATTTAATCTTTGCTCAAAATTATAGTTAGACATATTTTGTATCTATTAACTTTTATGGAATTACAGGTGAATACAAATGCAACAACATCGAATAAGTCAACCACTATGACTAAGAAATCAACCACTTCGACTAAGAAATCAACCACTTCGACTAAGAAGTCAACCACATCGAAGAAAGCATCTACATCAAATTCTCCTAACAAGAATGAAGATGGACCGTCTAGAAAAATGAAAAGATAGATTGGTATGGGTATTTATACCAATATGAACACTGGTGAAGAAATACTTAATGTGAGTATAATTTTTTTTGTTTATATTTGATATAATTCTGTTGTTAGTTAATTATATTGAATAGTTGTTTGAGTAAACTATTTATATTTGGTATAATTATGCAGTTAGTTAATTATTTGTCTAAGATTATGGAAATGGTCTTGTCTGGAATTGTGGAAATTAGCTTGCTGAAATCTGTGAACAGATCTTGTATGGAATTGTGGAAATTAGCTTTTTCAAAATATGTGAACATATCTGTCAACTTATCCTGTCTTATTGAGTGAAAGAGTTATGACTACCCCTACAATGCCTTAAAGAAGATTAGAGCTCTAAATTCCCAGTTTTAGCATACATGGAATGGTTCTAGATTTCATTGGAAAGGGAAAAAGGTTGTCACATCTAGGTAACTTGAGCAAGAATATTCGGATGCCTCTTGCAAGCATCTTGGAATTCGAATGACACAATGAATGATTGGTGTCAACTTTTGTCTTTTGGTTTGTTTTGTATGAAAGAAACCAGCCTTTTGTTTTGTATAAAATAAGTTAGTCTTTTATTTTGCATGTAACAAGTTGGTTGATGAAACACGTATGCTTGTCCAAACAAACAATGTTTTTTGGAATTGACTTTAAGTTGTGTTGTGAACTTTTACCATATATAGGCAAGGCTAATATTATTTTGTAATTGTAATTATAGAAATTTCTCTCTCTTTCACTTTGAAATTAACTGTAAATTATATTAGATTAATTCAACATATTTGAATATGATAACTCCGTAAAAAGACTTAATTCCTAGTCTTTTCACTTAAGTTATTGCTCGTCTAGACAAAGTATGCACTACATTTTTAGTTGCATTTAGTTGCATATAGGTTATATTAGAATGTGGTCGATAAGTTTTTCTTAGGCAAGATTTATTTGGTTTGACTGATGCTGTTGGAGAGAAAGGGTTATTTGGGTTGTGTTTGTGCAGGATTCCTTCAAAGGAAGAACATTTAAGTCGTGACAATGTAAAAGTGCAGAGGCCAATGAAACAGATGAGAACGTGAAGAACAAATTTATCTCGCCAAGGCAAGATTTATTTGAGGAAGTCTGAAGCAGGTGTGGCTAAACCGCCTATGTTACACATCAGCTGGATGACCTACTTCACGTACAAGCAAGCCTCAATTATTCTAACAACCGACAACCGCCTTTCCTTTTTAAATCCGGGCAATTAATAACGGCTAGTTAAGGAAACTCCAAAAATAGACAAAGACTTAGGAGGTTTTACCTTATAAATAGCCAGTCGTAGCCGCCAAAGAAAAAGGCAAGGAAGGAAGAAGAGATAAGAGCTTTACCTAAGGCGTGAGCAAGCAACTGTAGTGTTTTCTCGCCGTCTACCCACCAACCTTCCTTTGTGTCCTCCATAGCCAGACGATAGCAGAGCGGTGATCAGGCCTCGAGAGAGGGTGATCACCAAATCAGGCGCGGTGCTGATCAGGATTGTCACGACAGAGCCCCCAATTTTGGGAGTCGTTCTTCCTTTGTTTTAAACTCTTTATCTATTTGGGGTTGCATTAAACGTTGAATATTGGATGATCTTTGATAGCACCATGAATGCTTTACTTGGTGTTAAACTTTGTTTTTCCTGAACAATATTTTTATGTTTATGAATGATGAAGTATGTTTCACTTATGACTGTTTTGTTCATAGTTTAAATATTTTACCTTAGCACTGTAAGAGCATCAAGAGATAGCCTTGGGTTTTGGTAAAATATGTCTTAGCATTGTAAGAGCATCGAGAGATAGCCTTTTGTCTAGATAAGTGATTCTTAAATTCGAGAGAATTAAGATAGATCAACGCGAGTAATGGAATGAATCCGGGATGGTGAAGTTCTAACTTGTCTACCTTAGACATAAGGAGTGAGTTTCAAATGAATAAAATGGATAGATGCTAGAGTAGGAGAGACTACGTCTATAGTTAACGTCAAGAGGTATTGTCGTAGAAACCGTCTAAGAATACCTAGTAATCCTGTCGGGCAGTTTTAGTGAGTTATAATAAGTCATTCTAAGCTGAGAATATTTGTTGTCAAGACAATGGTTTAGCATAAGTGCTCTGTGACACGTCTGAATATGTGCGGTTGTTTGCATTATATTTAAACCATCACTTATTTTATTAGTCTGCATCTTAATTTTGCCTCAACCAAACCTTTATGAAATCATTGAATCGTTTTCTTAGTTAATTAATATTAGTTCTTAGGATAATACTTAGTAGGACTTAGCTTGTGACATTAGTTTTAGTTGTGGTGAAAATATATTTCTAATTCAATCCCTATGGAGACGATACTCACTCACTACTATATTACTTGCATCGATTGTGTATACTTACACAGATTTGCTTGCCTTAGCATATACATTTACAAGGGATCAAGTTTTTAGCGCCGTTACCGGGGATTGGCAACTGACGATATTTTTAGCCATAACAAGTTTTCTTACTCTAATGTAGTTTACTACTTTCTTTTGTAGGTTTTAATTATTGCATGACCTTGAGATCTTCTGGTAAGCCTTTGGAACCATTCGACCATGAAATTGAGCAATCATTCAGACAAAGGTTGCGTGCCCAAAGAACTAGAGAACAATCAAATCAATTTCAAATGCAACACAACATGGGAGATTTGGGAGATCCAGATGCAACAATTAATCTTCAAGTTGCAAGACCAAGAGAGATACAAGATCATTTGAACCCTATTCTCGATGAACTCAATCCAGGCATAGTGGCACTTGAGATCCAAGCCACTAACTTTAAACTCAAACCGGTGATGTTTAACATGTTAAACTCTATCTGACAATTTGGTGGTTCACCCAATGAAGATGCAAGACAGTACGTTCGTGCTTTCCTTGAAGTATACGACTCGTTTCGGCAATAAGGAGTACATGAGGATATACTAAAACTGAAGCTTTTTCCTTACTCCCTACGCGATAGAGCAAGGGCCTGGCTCAACGGAGTTCCTTTCGGCTCAATGGAGTCATGGGCAGACTTATGCAAGAGTTTCCTACTACGATACAATCCGCCCTATATGAACACTCAGCTTCGCAATGACATTGCTAGTTTTCGCCAAGGAGATGATGAATAAATGTACGAATGATGGGATAGGTATAAAAGTCTACTTTGCAAATGTGTTAACCTTGGATTTCACGATTGGACGCAAGTGGTAATGTTTTATAATGGAGTCAATGCACTAACTCGAATGATGCTAGATGCCTCAACGAATGGCACCTTACTAGACAAATCACCCGAGGAAGCTTTTGACATTCTCGATAGGATAGCAAATAACGATTATCAATTTCCAAGTTCAAGATTGGGAACTGGCAGAAAAACATCAGGAGCATATGAATTAGAAGGTAAAGATTCGGTAGCATCTCAACTTTTGGCCATAACCAATATGTTGAAAAATTTGCAACGTCCTAATAAGGTAAGAGAAGTCAAGGTGACCAATAATGTATGCCTATTTTGTCATGGCAATCATCATGAGAGTGAATGTCCTGAAAACTATGAGTCAACCAATTTTATGGACAACTACAATCAGAACAATAATAACCCCTATTCGAGTATGTACAATCCTGATTGGAGACAACACCCAAATTTTTCTTGGAGTAATCAAGGGAACAGTAACAATCAAGCCGCAAACTACATGCCACAACAAAATAATTCTGACCATCAATATTTTCAGAATCATCATCATCAGCAGCCCTGACAAAACAATAAAGGTATAACTTCTTCCTCTAACACCAATTCGAATACTAATTCCTTGGAGTTATCATTGCAGGAATTCATGGCCTCGATAAAAGATTTAATGGCTTCCACAAAGACCTTGATGCACGAACACTCTCCAATAATTAAAAATCAAGGAAATTTGCTACAGAGCCAAGCAACACTTTTGCAAAGCAATAGTTCATCTCTCAAAGTGTTAGAGAATCAAGTAGGACAAATTGCTACGGCATTACATTCTCACCCACATGGAAATCTCCCTAGTGATACTGAAGTCACTAAGCATCATGAGAAGGAGAAATGCAATGTACTTACGCTAAGGAGTGGAAAACAAGTCAACCAAGATGACAAGTTTGGGGAGAACACCTGAACAATCCTCACCAAGGTGTAACACAACTGGATGATCAATCTGAGAATGTTGAACGCAGGGAAGTGCCTAAAGAGAAGGAAAGAAGTGAAGGCTCCGAAGAGCATCGACCGGATAACAAAAACCTCATGGTCAAGGCCAGCGATTACTCAACACCATCAACATTCAATGTGAGACCTCCACCACTATTCCCTCAACGGTTGAAGAAGCATGATGACGAAATCCAGTTCAAGAAATTTGTTGATGTTCTAGATTAATTGTGTATTAATGTGCCCTTACTTGAAGCCATCGAGAAAATGCCTTATTATGCCAAGTATCTTAAGGAAATTGTTACTAAGAAAAAGAAGGTAGAACGTGTCGCCACGGCAACAGAAATCTGTTCAGCAGTAAGCAAACTCCCACCAAAACAAAAAGACCATGGCAGTTTTATAATACCATGTTCTATTGGTAATGACTTCATAGGATAAGCTCTTATTGATTTGGGATCAAGTGTAAACTTGATACCAAACTCTATATTTATGAAGCTAGACAGGTATCACGCCCAGCCTACCTCGGTCATCCTACAGTTGGTTGATCGGTCTTATGTGCGACCCGACGGCAGAATAGAAGATGTCACAGTAAAGGTAGATAAATTCGTATTTCCAGTAGATTTTCTCATCCTAGATTGCGAAGCCGATGAAAATGCACCAATCATTCTGGGACGCCCTTTCTTAGCCACCGGGAGAATCCTCATAGATTGTGAAAAGGGAGAATTCACCATGAGAGTAGGCGAGCAAGGCGTCACTATCAATGTATTCAACTCCATGAAATATGTGGACAATTCAGAGGAATGCCAATGCATTAACAAGATTGAAGAAAAGACA